TATAGTGTATCACTTGTTTTGTATATTATTATTGTATTATATTATTATTATTATTATTACTACTACTACTATTCTATTTTATTTTACTTCATTATTAAACTGTTCTTATCTCAACCCACGAGTTTTCTCACTTTTACTCTTCCAATTCTCTCCCCTGTCCCACCGGGGGGGGAGTGAGCAAGCGGCTGTGTGGTGCTTAGTTGCCAGCTGGGGTTAAACCCTAATAGAAAAATATGAAAATACTGCTCTTATTAAGGCAGCTTAACAGGGAATTTGAATCTATTATTTACAGTAGATTGTATTGCATGCAAATATCTTGAGGATTTTACCCAACGTTATAAGTTTGTCAATGTACTTCTATGTTCTTGTTCAGTCTTGTGCCTCTTCACAAGTAATAACTATGATTTAGTTTAAGCGGTGCTACATTATTAATGCTTTTGTCAGGAGTGGTAACAGATCACCATGTTCATTTCTCTCATACCCCTAAACAGGAAAAGTCTGACAGTTTTATTTTGCTTATTTATGAAATTGCACCGATCTCTGTCTATAGGCTTCTGCCTATTGTATCATCTACCTGTTTGTCAAACATTTTTCAAGAAAACATATTGATTTTAATTAACAGTTCATACACCTTAAATTTGAGTTGGAAGCTACTAATCTGCATAATTCCATACTTCACATTTATTTTTAAAGGGATAAATTTACTATTCTAAATATAATTTGAAAGCTCCACCCCATATTCAGGAAAATAAATTTAAAAAAACCCATTCTTTTCTGTCAGGAAGCAAAACTGTTTCATGGGCATGAGCTGCTTCAAAGTAAACAGCGCTGCCTGGATGCAAGGGCAGCTGGGGAGAGCGACTTTGGTTAAAAAGCGTTCCTGCAGCAAGCTTTGCCATTTGAACAGTCATGGCACAGACACAATAGACTCAAACTGCTACACAGCACCAGCATTGTGATCTCCTAGTTAGCGTCACTTAGTAGGCTCCTGAGATTAATTGGAACTGAGATTTGACAGCCTAAGACACATCACACGTCCAGGCACCAGCATTTCTGAAACTGCCCATCATCCACAGTGTCTGCCTTAAAGATTTCTCTTTTTTCCCTCATAAATTATTTTAGGCTCCTGAAAGTCCAGCCTCACTAGAATGCAAATCCTGCATCTGTTACTCTACATACAGATGTAGCTGTTCTTGATCATTGAGGGGCTCATGTACTTGTAACTGAATAACGCTGCCAACAGCACGCATTCTTATCTAATGATCCCTTCTTATATGATTAGGTTGACTTGAAACACATGCCTCCACGTGGCACGCTTCCCTTTTTTGTCATCATATTCATTCCTATGTAAACTGGAAGTACTTCAGGAAGTGCACTTACCTGGGAGCTGTTACTAAAATCTTATTCTCTGAAGCTGTATTTTCCAGAGGAGATATTAAAATACATTACATGCAATAGTATTTTAAAAACAATTATATTACCAAAGATATTTACCTCCCCCCCAAAAGTGAAACAACTTAAATTATGTCTACCTGCATCTTTGGAAGTTCTCAATTCAAACAGCAACAGTTCTTTTTGCTTCTCTTCTGCATCTTGTACGGCAGCAACAGACTCCTGTTAATAAACACAGAAATGATAGCAAGAAGTAGTGCCAAGTGTACCATATAAAACACAGACCATGATGCACGGCTTGCAGGATAAGTGTTGGTGGACTCAAGTCATTCCAGGCAGGGAATTACTGTGTAAAGGCAATGCGGGCACTGGTAGGATACACCTACATAGTGCCAAGGGTATGCAACATGCTGTCACAGCCTGGTTTGGCCCAGGCATTCAAACTAGTCCATGCTCAGAGTGCCAACTCTGAGTACACTGCAGGGATTAGACAGTGAATTTCAGCATGACAGCATCACCTAGACAATGTAGACATAGCCTACAGATACCAGCAACAGCTCTCCTAACATACAACTTGTGCAAAAATCTTCCTGGCAGGATTAAACACTTTCTAAATACCTACATTACCATGAAGAAAAATCACTACTCTTTCAAAGAGCCATTGTGGAAATGTGATGAAAAGCTTCAGGATTCCTGACCTTTTTCCTATTCACATAGGCAATAAGAAATATATATAAGTATTGACTACTGTTTGCACAATAAATACAAGTGCACAGGAATCATGAAGAGACAGAAGTGGTAATATATACACTTAATTACTGTAAACCACAGCTTATATACTGTAAGCCTCTGCATGATGCTGGTTTTGACATATATTCTAAAGGGTTAATTATTTAAACAATATTTTTATGTTATTCAGTCAGTAAATGAAACTATGCAGTACTACACTATGAAGCAGTTTAACAAAATCCTATTATCTATACTTACCACATCGTATTTCTCGTGTTGTGGCTCCAAAGCTGCACCACCATTTTTACAGTCATTGTAACAATGACGTTTTGATCTTCTTGACCTAGAAGGATATTTCCTCTCTCCGCAATTAAGAAAAAATAAAAAGAATTTAAAATGAATTTTCAGGAGTATAATAGGTTAGATTAGCTAATATAGGTTACAAAGATGCAATGGCACATCACATCATAAAAAAAATCTTGTATATGCAAATGAGATCAAATTTAGGTAGCAAAAGGAAATAAGGCTTTAAAGCTACCACTTTGAAAAATGCAAGGTTTCTGTAAAGGGAAATCCAGATAATAACAAAAATATGAAGAGCCAAATACGTCCTTATACCTCATTGTCTTAGGGGGGAAAAAAACCTCATGTATACTATTTTCTAAAATAAATAAATAAATAAATAAAATTCAGTAGTTAATACAGTTAAAAATATCAGTGCCAGGCAATATGCAGATCGGTAAATCAGCAGCATTCTAATGCAGAGTTTTTCCTTAGGACTACAGGGTAACCCTATGATTTACATTACAAAACCAACATACCTGTAACTTCAATAGTCTCAACAGGAAGTAGAGAGTCCATTGCACTGTAAGATTTCAGCAGTTCTTTCATTTCATCATCACAAGCTGCATCCAAAGCACTTTTCCCTGAACCATCCCTCTCACTGGGATTTGCTCCATGCTGTAGTAGAATCCTGACTGCCTATTATATATTATTATTATTATTATTATTATTATTATTATTATTATTATTATTATTATTATTATTATTATTATTTCTATTGTGATATTTTTTGTTGTGGACTTATAATACAATTATATGTGTTGTGTCTATCATAAATCACAAATAGGAAAGGTACAAATATGATACTCTAGAACCTGTTACACTTGCAATCCTAATTAAACAAGCAAGTTTAATTGGCTATTATCAACACAGACTTGCATCTTACAGTTCTGATTTTTCCATTAAAATACACAAATAATTCACAACTTGTCGTTAAACCTAACATCTTTATGGTATTGCTACAGAGAGCAATTACAAAACTTCATATATCTAAATTAAATGGAACTCGTCAATTGTATTCAGACCAAAGTGCAGAAAAGAAGTGGGTTTTTTTTTTAAGTATTTAATAGTGATTTTGGTTTTTGGTTACATGCACTGATTTTTTTTTTCCTAATTCCAAATCAGTTGCAAGTCTGTTTAATTGTAAAATGTGAAAATGAGATTAGTGGCGTCAATGGAATCATCTACCCCTTACAATTCAGATCATACAGAAGTGGTGACGAGGTCAGAGCTTGGATGGTAAAGAATTTTCATGCGTATGATTTCTCATCTTTAGCATTTCTTCATCTTTCTTAGTTCAGAATCTTCATCGGTTTTCCCCCACAATACTGAATAATAGCTTACATGTTTTCAAGAACCCTACTGATAGTTTGGCACCAGCCCTGTGAAATCATCCCTTTCATTTTATCTTTGCTCACAGAAAAGATAAACATGATGAAGTATCAGCTCTTCTGACAGGAATAGAAGTGGTATGTTTGAGCCAATCTGGCATCACCTTTTTAAGCTCAGTTCCCTGGAACTCACTGTGCCAAAACAATATCTTATTTATTTGTGTGCAGTTCTGAGCCCCACAATTTAAGAAG